ATGCAGATGCACAGGAAGAAGAGTCATCAAGTGTGTTCACTGCACATCTACAGGCAGATCGAGCTGCCCAGGAACCCTGGAAGCCATGCAGCCCAGGTTTCTCTGGGTCGGGCTTATTTTGCTTCATGTAATTACTATTTGTCAGTCGTGGGGCTTGAACTCAGGGCCTGGGCGCTGTCCCTCAGCTCTTCAGCTCAAGGCTGGCGCTCTACCCCTTGAGCCACAGCGCCACTCCCGGTTTTCTGGTAGTTCATTAGAGATCAGAGCCTCACGGCCTTTCCTGCCCGGGCTGGCTTTGAACCGCGATCCTCAGATCTCAGCCTCCTGAGCAGCTGGGATGACAGGCGTGAGCCACGGCGCCCGGCTTTGCTTCCTGTGATTTTTTCCCACGTCTTTCCATTTCCTCACACAGGGTACGGCATCATCCTGTCTGACGGATGTGTAGAATTCCACGGTGTGTGCACACCTCATTCTATAAATCTACCGGTAAACCACGGAGGCGTGACACTCACTGGACGCTACGTGGAAAATGAACTGTCCCTCTGGCAGGTAGCGACCGGAGGGAAAACCCAGAGAGACAGGGCCCAAAGCGGAGCCATGATTCAGAGAACTGTTCTGGTGACTCATCACCCGGTCCATGTGACTGCCAACCCTACAATAGCAACTTCAAAAACAGAAGGTGAGCCGGGCGCCGTGGCTCCCGCCTGTCATCCGCACTACGCAGGAGGCTGAGATCTGAGGATCACGGGTGGAAGTCAGCCTAGGCAGGAAAAGTACTTGAGATTCATCTCCAATGAACCAGCAAAACACTGTGCTGTGTGGCTCACGTGGTAGAGCACCGGCCTTGAGCCAAAGCAGCTCAGCCACAGCGCCCAGGCTCTGAGTTCAAGCCCCGGGACTGGCAAAAAAAGAAAAAGAAAGAAGAAAAAAAAATAGTGTTGGACCATTTGCTTAGGTAAGGATGAAAATACGGAGAGGTAATGAGTATAGCCACAAAATGTACCCTGAGCACGAATTTCTGAGTCTACAGAAATGAAACCTTCATTTCTTCCAGAAATCGACATGGTTTTCCAGGAGTATCTGACAGGACTTTCTATTATTCTGTTTCCTATGTATTGTGTGTGTGTGTGTGTGTGTGTGTGTGTGTGTGTGTGTGTGTGCGCGCGTGTGTGTGTGTGTGTGTGTGTGTGGTATGTGGTGTGTGTGTGTGTGTGTGTGTGCTGGTGCTGGGGCTTGAACTCAGGGCCTGGGCGCTGTCCCTGAGCTTCTTTTGCTCAAGGCTAGCGCTCTACCTCTTGAACCACAGCGCCACTTCTGGCTTATTTCAGTAATTTATGAGAGATACGAGTCTCACAGACTCTCCCTCCCCTGACTGGCTTTGAACCTGGGTCCTGGGCGCTGAGCATTCACGGCAGCTGGGATTACAGGTGTGAGTCACCACGCCCAGCCAGCTGGCTGGTAACTCCTATTTCTGCGTGGTTGTCATGAGCACAGACAGACCAAACAACGTGCCGGCCTTCCAGCGAGAGAGCGAGGCATGCCTCAGCCAGAGAAAATGACCTGCAAGGCATCTGTGAGTAATCTTTATGAGGAAAATGTCTACACGGGGTCTGAAGAGGGGCTGTAGAAAGGGCATCCGTATCTCAACAGACTTGAAGCTCAACGCACTTGAACGTGAAATCAGGTTTGACACTGCTTGATTTGGGTCAAGTAGGTCAAGTCTTAACAATATCAAGTAAGGTGGGTCAGGGGTAGAGTGCTCGCCTAGCATGCGTGAAGCCCTGGGTTCGATGCCTCAGCACCACCTACACAGAAAGAGCCGGAAGTGGCACTGTGGCTCAAGTGGTAGAGCACCAGCCTTGAGCCAAAGCAGCTCAGGGACAGTGCCCAGGCCCTGAGTTCAAGTCCCAGGACCGGCAAAAACAAATAAACAAAGCTAACAACAACAAAAAAAGCTGGCAAACCTATGGTATGAGCTGCTTGAGAGAATTAGCCTGGAATCGTTCTGTTCCAAGTGCCTGGTACTTAACCGATGCCCGCGTCTTCCTCCTCAGTGAAAGATAAAAGGGAAATTACTAAAAACCAAACATCCTGTTGGCTCCTAAGTCAACTTCCTTTATTAAAACTGCAAAGGAACTGCTAAGTAATAGCAGGACAGGCTCATTTCCTTTTTTTCTTCCTTTCTCAACTAGGCCGAAAGACATCACGGGCAAAATATCAGATGAACCTCCCTTAAAATGAAGGCGAAGAACGATTTCACAGCAGGCAATAGTAAAACGCATGATCATTCCCATCTCTTCAAAAACACAATATAAAAATCAGCTGAGCACCAGCGGCTCCCGCCCGTCATCCCGGCTACTCGGGAGGCTGAGACCTGAGGATCGCGGTTCAAAGCCAGCCTGGGCAGGAAAGTCTGTGAGCCTCTGATCTCCCATCACCCTCCAAAAAGCCGAAAGTGGAGCTGTAGTTCAAGTGCTAGAGCACCAGCCTTGAGCAGAAAAAGCTCAGGGACAGCATCTGGGCCCTGAGTTCAAGCCCCAGGAGCAGGGAAAAAAAATAAAAATAAATGAAAAGGTGAATTTTCCCCATGGAAATCACAGTGATACTTGTGGGACCAAGAATCAGTAAAGTATAAGTATCAATAACATATAATATATAGTTACATATAACATATACATACACCCACATGTGTATACAAGTAGGTATACACACATACACATACATTATTTATCGTCATATATGTGTATTGTGTGCACATATAGATGTACATATCGTTTAAAATGCTATAGACAATATAAGCATATACATATATATGTGGCCATGGTAACACAATGGCATCATTATATTATGTACGTGTGTATTTCTGTTTCAATGCCATCCATTGAAGAGGATCAGGGACTTGTCCCATAGAAAGAGCCAGTGCGGATACTCACGTCCATTCTTCCGTCCTGGTTCATCCTGACTGCAGCTGGACAATCCGATCGGGGACGGGGTCGGGCTCGCTTGGTTCCTGGACCTGATAGCACAAAGCACTTGCTCGCTCTGAGGAGACAAACTGGACGTGTTAGCATCTACCAAGCCGGGCCTGGCCCCCACCGGCCCAACAGCCTAGGGGATTTGAAATGAAGCCCCTGGTCTAAGCAAGACACGATGGGACAAGTGTGCAGATACAAGTCAGCTGGTCAAAATGACACCCACAGACCCTTGGCAAGTGACTGCGGAACTTCCCGGAACCACTCCCCAGGACGGTCAGCCCAGAGACCTCAGGGCCTGTCTTCAGCTGAAGACACACTCGGGGCCACGCACTGGTGCGCCCGCCTGCCATCCTGGTGACTCAGGAGGCTGAGATCTGAGGATCGGGGTTCAGAGGCTGGAAAGTCTGAGACTCTGATCACCAGTACACTTCTCAGAAAAATCAGGACGGGGCACTGTGGCTCAAGGGGTAGAGCGCCAGCCTTGAGCACAGAGCAGCTCAGGGACAGCGCCCAGGCCCTGAGTTCGAGTCTCAGGACCAGCACACACACACACACGCACACACACACACACACACACGCGTGCGCGTTGGGGTGTTCCCCAGTAAAGACGTTAGGGTGTCAGGCTATACACACGCAGCTGCAGATGTGAGGCTGGTAGCTTCTGTCCACTCACTGAGATAATCGCGTCACAGACACGCGCCGCGCGTCATTTCTCCATCTTCCGGACTTTCACACAAAGCCAGGCCGGGCTGGGCTCTGCAAGGAAGAAGATGCCACTCAGAAGTCGCTTAGAGGGGCCGGGCAGGTGGCTCAGGGGTAGAGCGCTTGCCTTGCATGCGTGAGGCCCTGGGTTCGATTCCTCAGCACCACAGACACAGAAAAAAGCCAGAAGTGGTGCTGTGGCTCAAGTGATAGAGCGCTAGGCTCTCAGGGTCAGTGCCCAGGCCCTGAGTTCAAGCCCCGGGACTGCCAAAAAAAGAATAGATTAGATTTTTAAAGCGTAGTGAGGTGGCTCACACCTGTCATTCCGACTACTCAGGAGGCTGAGATCTGAGGATCCTGGTTCGAAGCCAGCCCAGGCAGGAAACGTCTGGGAAACTCTTGTCTCCAATGAACCAACAAAAATCTGGAATTGAAACTGTGGCTCACGCCTTTAATCCCAGCTACTCAGGAGGCTGAGATCTGAGGATCTCAGGATCTGGGCAGGAAAGTCCGTGAGACTCTGATCTCCAATGAACCACCAGAAAAACCGGAAGTGGCGCCGTGGTTCAAGTGGTAGAGCGCCAGCCTTGAGCTGAAGAGCTGAGGGACGGCGCTCAGGCCCAGAGTTCAAGCCCCAGGACCAGCACAGATGCACAAAAACACTGTCACTAATCTATATGGCAAGAAATAGGGCATCTACCTTTTAAGCCTTTCAGGAACAAATAAAGAGATTTTGAAGGCTTCCATTACATACAATATTACCCACAGAACAATTTTATCTTACAAGTATTTTAAAAACTAATTAATTTTTCAACTAAGTTTAACATATCGATTGATTGATTTTGTGCTGTTACCGGGGCTTGAACTCAGGGCCCTGTTCCTCTTTCCCACTCAAGGCTAGGCCCTATCCTGTGAGCCACAGCTCCACTTCTGGCTTTTTTGGTGGCGAATTGGAGCTCAGCCTCTCATGATCTGTCCTGCCCGGGCTGGCTTTGAACCGCGATCCTCAGACCTCAGCCTCCTGAGCAGCTGGGGTGGCAGGCGTGCCCCGCTGGGCCCTGGCTCAGAAGTAAACAATGTGGTGGTTGGAGACACTCTGGGGAGACGTTCAGATGGAAGCCTTGATCCCACAGGTGTTCAGTGCACGCCGGAACTCTATTTCCCTATCTTTCCAGCAGCCAAACCAGCCGGCTCTGGGCCGGGTTTGCATACGTCTGTGCGGGGAAGGATTTCTTGTTTCCTTCCCAGGGAAAGCAATGAAGCACCAACCTCTGCCCCGCCACGCTTCAGCTGTGGAGACGCTGTGTCGCTCAGGAAGCCGCTATCCGGCCAATGAGACCCCAGGCCAAGGCCTTTGGAATCGGCTGTAAGAAAAATACAGCAAGGCCAGGCCGCTGGTGGCTCCCGCCTGTCATCCCAGCTACTCAGGAGGCTGAGATCTGAGGATCACAGTTTGAAGCCAGCCCAGGTAGGACAATTCATGAGACTCCGATGTCCAATTAGCCAGTCAAAAAATCCAGAGATGGAGCTCTGGTTCACATGTAGAGCACTGAGAGGCAGGGTGGGGGGAGCTCAGGAATAGCACCGAGGCCCTGAGTTCAAGCCCCAGGACTAGTCAAAAGAAATAATAAGTAATAAGTAAATAAAACCGTCACACGGTTAGAACATAACGCTAGTTTTCGATCCTGGCTGACGTGTATTTCTGAGATCAGGTCTCACGGGTAACAGCGCCAGTTTACAACTTCAGCCAACTATTGCGAGGAAGAAAAGCCGATCTCTTTCCCAAACAACTTCTCCCTTCAGTCCGGCACTAGTGGCCAATGCCTGTCAAGTCTATCTGCCCAGGAGGCTGAGGTCTGAGGATCGGGGTTCAAATTCAGTCTGGGCAGGAAAGTCCGTGAGATGCTTCTCTCCAATGAACCACCGAAAAGCCAGAAGTGGAGTCATTGCCCAAGTGGTCGAGCGCCAGCCTTGTCCACTAAAGCTCAGGGACAGCGCCCAGGCCCTGAGTTCCAGCCCCAGGATGAGCAGAGACCAAAAAAGAAAAAAAAAAAAAAGATTATTTATTCAACCTAAATATTGATACTTGTTATCAATACTGAACGTGGGAGAATTTGATGTTATCGGTATTATTCACGTCATAGTTGATTTATCGTTGCATTAAAAAAGCTTTGACAGGCCAAACAAAGAAAATGATGGGAAAGAATGCCCAAAGGGGTGACATGGATCCAAACACATTCCACTTCTAACCTGCCAGGTTGAACTGAAACCCCTTTGTGCTCAAAGATAATAAAAAAAAAGAGTCAGGGTTCACTAATCATTCATCAAGAGAAACTTCACACACATGTCTCTAAGCTGAATAAATCTAAAAGAAAAGGGGCATAAATCTATAATAAAAATCCAGACAACATGATTTGTGTGTGTTTGGAGTGTGATCCTCCTATTTATACTTCCGTGATTACAGCGGTAAGAAACGGCACCTGGTTCATTGGGTGAGATGGGGTCTCTCATTGTTTTTCTTCTTTAATCCAGGCTGGCTCTGAACCTCATTGCTTCATATCTCAGCCTCTAAGCAGCAGGGATCAGAGGCAGGAGACGGAGGCCTGGAATCTTCTGCAGAGTCTCAAGGCTATTCTTTCTTCCCTGCTCCTGCCCGCCAGGCATGATTATCTATGTCTGGGTGACTCAAGTGAGATTGCGGCGTGTCAGACCGGGGAACACGGTGAGGAGTGGATCAGATGGACGAATGGATGTGTTCTGAGATAAGATGCCCCAAACAACAGGTCCTGCGCACACCCTAGTCCTGAGCAACACGTTAAACTTCTTTGTCAACGCAAACCTCCAGAGCTGGGCGGGTGGCTCAGTGGTAGAGCGCTCTCCTAGCATGCCTGAAGCCCTGGGTTCGAGTCCTCAGTACCACATACTCAGAAAAAGCCGGAAGTGGTGCCGTGGCTCAGGTGGTAGAGCGCTAGCCTTGAGCAAAAGAAGCTCAGGGACAGTGCCTAGGCCCTGAGTTCAAGGCCTAGAACTGGGAAAGAAAAACAAAGCACAAACCTCTATGGAGCAGCCAATATCTATTACGTGAGCAAAAATAGGCAGGGTCACCACTCAAGAACTGGGCACTTGCAGGTGAGTGAGGTTGCACATGCCTGTAATTTCAGCACTCAGAGATTGGAGAATATGAACTACATAGCAAGACCCTGTCCCAGGCCCCCCCAAAGAAAATAAACAAATACGTTGTTTTGTTTTCTTGTCGGTCCTGGGGCTTGAACTCAGGGCCTGGGCGCTGTCCCTCAGCTCTTCAGCTCAAGGCTGGCGCTCTACCGCTTGAGCCACAGCGCCACTTCTGGTTTTCTGAGTGGTTTATTGGAGATAAAGAGTCTCACGGACTTTCCTGCCGGGGCTGGCTTTGAACCTCCGTCTTCAGAGATCAACTTCCTGAGTAGCTGGGATGACAGGCGTCAGCCACCAGCTTCGCTACTGATGAATCTTAGTAGACGCGTCCCAAAGCAATGGTCCCAACACATTCGCTGATTCGAAAGCCAGAGACCCTCAGAAGGGCAGACTGAACTATTTGTTTTTCTCTCTGACTCAGAATTCAAATGTCTGACTCAGAATGCAAGTAGCACGGTGGCGTGGGCAGGGTGGAGCGTGGGGTGAGTAGACTTTTTCTCTCCTCCTCTAGGCCATCCGGAACATCTGCTTTACAAAACATCCCATGTGAGCCGGGCGCCGGTGGCTCCCGCCTGGCATCCCAGCGACCCAGGAGGCTGAGATCTGAGGATCCTGGTTCAAAGCCAGCCCAGGCAGGGAAGTCCATGAGACTCTGATCTCCAATGAACCACCAGAAAACCGGAAGTGGCGCTGTGGCTCAAGTGGTAGAGCGCCAGCCTTGAGCAAAAAGAGCTCAGGGACAGCGCCCAGGCCCTGAGTTCAAGCCCCTGGACCACCAAAAACAACATATTTGTGTGTGTTTTCTGTGTGTGTGTGTGTGTGTGTGTGTGTGTGTTCATGTGTGCCAATACTGGGGATTGAACCCAAAGCCAGGATGCTGTCCTTTAGCTTTTGTGCTCAAAGTTGGTGCTCTACCATTAAACCGCAGCTCCATAGCTTACTCTTTTTTGCTGGTTCATTGGAGAGAAGCGTCTCACGCACTTTCCTGCCTGGGGTTGGCTTTGAACCGTGATCCTCAGATCTCAGCCTCCTGGGTAGCTGGGATGACCGGCGTGAGCCACCGGCGCCCACATTATACAGAACATTTTGAAAATAGGAACCAAATGTTCTTCTTCCTTCAAAGGTTGAGTTTTAAGGGCAGAGTGATTGCTGACGAGCAAAATCCTGACACCGACAGGAGAGACTCGAAAGATGGATTTCATAGATCCGAAACATCTGTGAATAACTTGACAGAAACTAAGAATTCCCCTTCCTTCCTCCCTGCTGGAAAAGCACAGCAAAACACATGCATCCCACCAAGGTCGCATTTACGTGTGTGCTGGGCCTGGGGCTTGAACTCAGGGCCTGATGCCCTTGCTTGGCTTTCTTACTCCAGGTTGGTGCTCTACCACTTGAACCACAGCCCCACGTCTGGCATTTCTGGTGGTTCATGGGAGATCAGGGTCTCATGGGCTTTCCTGCCCGGGCTGGCTTTGAACTGTGATCCTCAGATCTCAGCCTCAGAGTGGCTGGGATGGCAGGCGGGAGCCACCAGCCCTGGGCAGGGTGATTTTTTTTTTTTTTACAGGCCAATTTTGGATATTTGAACCAACTTTTCCCTGGGGACAAATTGGGGGAAAAAAAATAAGCACAGGTTTACATGACCCAGAGTGCTCATTTTGTTCAAAACTTGATTCTCCCAGCAAGGCACTAACAAGGAAACCCATGGAGAGACAGACACATTGGAATAGTTTGGGATATAAATCCGGCACCCGTGGCTCACACCTGAATCCTAGCTACGTGCCTGAGGCTGAGAGCTAAGGACCACAGTTCAAACCCAGCCCGGGCAGACAAATCCAAGAGACTCTGATCTCCAATGGATGGGTAAAAGCCTAAGTAGAACTGCGTGTGGTTCAAGCGGTAGAGCACCCACCTGGAATGAAAAGACCTAGCAAGAGCATGAAGCCCTGAGTTCCAACCCCACCACACAAGAAAAGCAACACAACAGCAGCAGCAACCACCCAGGGGACTCAATATTGATTTAATCCAAAGATAAACACAAACCAAAGATTAGTCCTGTCAGCACCAGGGTGAAACCAGCCCTACCTTAACCCCAGCCTGCCGCAGTGACTGTGCAAGAATTACTCAACACTGGCAAGTTCATACGACTGAGAAGCAATAATAAGGCTTTAATAACCATTGATATTATTTATTTATCTTGCCAGTCCCTGGGCTGCTTTTGCTCAAGGCTAGCACTTTCCCACCTGAGCCACAGCACTGATTTTCTGTGTCTGTGAAGACTCGAACCCAGGGCTTCATGCAGGCTAGGCGAGCGCTCTACCCCTGAGCCCCCTGCCCACAGCCACACCATTGCTGCTTTAAAGCCATGCAATTTCTTCAGCAATGTGGGTTCCGCTTGCTCAGGAGAGTCCAACCAACCCCACACACAGCGGAGGCCTGAGGCGTGTCATTCCAACGCCACCAGGAGCTGGGTTCGGCCGTTTATTTCTCAAAACAACTTCTGGTTTAAAAAAAGACCATGTAGGCTGGCAAAGCCAGGAGCTACAGAACAGAAGAGGTCGTCTGATAAATGGCTGACTAAACAGACGCTAGGTTTGTTTCTAGAACAAAGCAGGCTTATAAACACTCTGACGTCTGTAATCTGACCATGGCTTCTTAGCACGTGGTTTTCCTGCCGGCTCTGGGCCTTGAACTCAGGGCCGGGGCGCTGTCCCTGGGCTTCTTTTCTTTTTTCCTCCCCTCCAGGCTAGCCATCCACCACCTGAGACGCAGCCATACTTCCTGCTTTTGGTTAGTTGGAGATTCACCACCGGGCTGGCTTTGAACCACAATCCCCAGACCTCAGCCTCCAAAGTAGCCAGGATGCTGGGCGCGAGCCACCGGCGTCCAGCCATTTCTGTCACTTTTAGGTGACCCAAGAGTGACAAATCCCCCAATCCCCAAAGTATCTTTACATGGTGCCCAGGGATTCTTGCTTCCCCAGGTCAAAGATTCCCATTTACACACCGCAGCAGGCAAGGGGGACCTTTTGGAAGACTTTCCACCCAGGTGAAATGGGGTGCACACAGAATTCACCCCCATTTCCCTCCGCCTCCTGCTTTAGGCCTTTCCCTACCAGTTCAAGAACTGGTGAGAAGATCAAAAGCAACAACAACAACAACACAGTCACCCGTAGAACGGCCCCCACCGCTTCCGAGTTCAGACACCTCGGGATGGACGCGCGTCTCTGGGCGAGCACTTCCCGCGGGTTGAGGGGTTGTTTGACTCTGCACGAAACCAGCCATGAGAAACGCAGCCCACCCGACGCAGCCCACGAGGGAGACCAACAGCACCGCGAGCTCCTACGCTACCTTCTAAACCCTCAGCCCCACTTCCCAAACCTCTCTCGTAGCCAGAACAGTGGGGATGGCGAAAGGTTGAGAAAGGAAAAGAAAAGCGAAAATGGCCGGAAGCCCCTCGCTGGCTGCTCAGCCGCACTCACCCGCCCGATCTCCGTCCCTCACCTTGCGAGTTTCCTGGCTGTGCAGAGATCCATCAGAATGCCATCCGCCTGTTTTGGTGGCCCGTGTGTGTGTGTGAGTGTGTGAAATCGCTTCCTCTAATTCAGGCAGGAAAGGTGTCGCGTTCTGCAAAACAGGCCTGTCTCTTTTCCACGCGCGCACACACACGCACACGGGCACGCACTGATCGATCACAACCGTGCGGCTGGAGCAGCTGCTTTTCCTCCCAGGCTGGTGATAAGCGTGGCCGGCCGGCCGTGCTGCTGGTGCTGGTGCTGCTGGTGCTGCTGGTGCTGGTGCTGGTGCTGCTGGTGCTGGTGCTGCTGGTGCTGGTGCTGGTGCTGCTGGTGCTGGTGCTGGTGCTGGTGCTGGTGCTGGTGCTGGTGCTGCTGGTGCTGCTGGTGCTGCTGGTGCTGGTGCTGCTGGTGCTGCTGGTGCTGCTGGTGCTGCTGGTGCTGGTGCTGGTGCTGCTGGTGCTGCTGGTGCTGCTGGTGCTGCTGGTGCTGGTGCTGCTGGTGCTTCTGGTGCTGCTGGTGCTGCTGGTGCTGCTGGTGCTGCTGCTGGTGCTGGTGCTGCTGGTGCTGGTGCTGCTGGTGCTGCTGGTGCTGGTGCTGCTGGTGCTGGTGCTGGTGCTGCTGGTGCTGCTGGGTGTGTTGGTGTGCGCAGCAGGGCCGGGCCTGGCGGGTCCAGCTGCTTCTTGGCGTACGCAGGCCGCTGACACCCCTCCCCGCGCCCCTGCTTTGCTTCCTCTGCCCGAGACCCGCCGGGGACTCACGCCGCAGTTCCTCTTTTTCTTTGTTTTTACACTTTTTTGGTTCCTCCTCCACGCGCTGCTGTGCTTCACGGCTCAGAGCCTCAGAGGGGCTGCCAGGAAGCTGCCCTCGCCCGTCCATCCCACACGCCGCCCTGTCACCCGCCACACCGGCCAGGGCTTCCTGGGGACCCCTTCTGCTGACACCATCTGCCTGCAGTGCCAGACTGACTTCTAGTGGTTTCTGACGGAAGGAGGAGGAGGAGGAGGAGGGGAAGAAGAGAAGGAAAGAAGCAAGAAACAGGAAGAAGAGGAAGGAAGGAAAGAAGGAAGGAGGGAGGGAGGGAGGGAGGGAGGGAGGGAGGAAGGGAGGGAGGGAAGGAAGGAAGGAAGGAAGGAAGGAGGGAGGGAGGGAAGGAGAAGGGGGGGCTAAGGGCCAAGCCGTCAGTGACATCCCAGCTGACAGTCGCTCTGGGGAGCGGTGACAAAGCCACACACACTTCCTGACAGGTCACAGGAAGAGAGAAAGTTCTTCCGCCCAGAGAAACACTTCCCAAGGCCGTTGTTGGAGGCGGGCGAGTCCTGAGGGCCTCCCAGCAATGCACATGTCTGGATTCCCATGCCACTCCACGCAAGCTACTAGGATCCCAGCACCCAGCCTCGGCCGGCTACTAGGATCCCAGCACTCAGCCTGGGTCTGCTACTAGGATGCCAGCACCCAGCCTGGGTCGGCTACTAGGATCCCAGCACCCAGCCTGGGTCGGCTACTAGGATCCCAGCACCCAGCCTCGGCCGGCTACTAGGATCCCAGCACCCAGCCTGGGCCGGCCACTAGGATCCCAGCACCCAGCTTGGGTCGGCTACTAGGATCCCAGCACCCAGCCTCAACTACTAGGATCCCAGCACCCAGCCTGGGTCGGCTACTAGGATCCCAGCACCCAGCCTGGGTCGGCTACTAGGATCCCAGCACCCAGCCTGGGTCGGCTACTAGGATCCCAGCACCCAGCCTCAGCTACTAGGATGCCAGCACCCAGCATTGTCGGCTACTAGGATCCCAGCACCCAGCCTGGGTCGGCTACTAGGATCCCAGCACCCAGCCTCAGCTACTAGGATCCCAGCACCCAGCCTGGGTCGGCTACTAGGATGCCAGCACCCAGCCTCAGCTACTAGGATGCCAGCACCCAGCCTCAGCTACTAGGATCCTAGCACCCAGCCTGGGTCGGCTACTAGGATCCCAGCACCCAGCCTGGGCCGGCTACTAGGATCCCAGCACCCAGCCTCAGCTACTAGGATCCCAGCACCCAGCCTCAGCTACTAGGATGCCAGCACCCAGCCTCAGCTACTAGGATGCCAGCACCCAGCCTCAGCTACTAGGATCCCAGCACCCAGCGTTGTCGGCTGTCTGTGCTCTGATGAGGTCAGCACAGGTGCGTGCTGATGCTACCACCGGCTTTTTATAGACAGAGGAAGGGAAAGCGGGGGAGGGGGGGAACCCAAAAGTCGTTTGTTCCATGACGCAAATGGCTTTCTCCTCCTCAATTGTCTAACTTTGCCACGAGCCCTGAAGGGACCCCTCCTCCACGGGGAAGAGCTGTGGAGAGCCCTGCTCCCCCCTCCCTCCCCCCCTCTTTCTCCCTCCCCCCTTCTTTCTCTCTCTCTCTCTTTCTTTCTTCCTTTCCTGTCAGTCATGGGACTTGAACTCAGGGCCTGGGTGCCGTCCCTCAGCTCTTCAGCTCAAGGCTGGTGCTCTACCACTTGAGCCACAGCACCACTTCTGGTTTTCTGGTGGTTCATGGAAGAGAAGACTCTCAGGGCCTTTCCTGCCCGGGCTGGCTTTGAACCGCGATCCTCAGCTCTCAGCCTCCTGAGTAGCTGGGTGACAGGCCGGAGCGCGCTTCTTTGCCTGGGTCGGGTGGAGATTGCTTGTTCTGAGGGAATGCATGCGGGGTCCGGCGTGGGGACGCTGCTGGCCTCGCTGGTTAACGTCCGCCCGGTGGGTCCAGGCAGGGACTGCAGCAGTCGGCCACTCGCCCCGCTGAACACGTCTTCTTACGAGACAGGGTCTCAGTGTACAGCCCCGGTTGGCCTTGAACTCACTAGAGACCAGGCTGGCCTGAAACTCAAGGTCCCTGGCCTGGTCCTGCCGGTGCTGGGATTATAAGCCTGCGCCACCCAGCCCGGCTTTGCTTTGGAATTTGCCGGATTGGTTTCCATGGAGACGGTGCAGCCGCAGGCTCAGCCACAGCTCTGGGAGAATGACCTTTGCCTTCGCTTCATTTGCACCCCGTTTGCATGTCATTTACGTACCCCCAGTCACCCAGAGCCGCTGTTCCGGGCTGGACGCAGCTTTCCCTCTGTGGTTTTGGTTTATCTTTCAGGAGAAGCTTGGCCTTTTAAACTCAATCCACCAGAGCTTTCTGGGCGTTGGGGATGGAGCCCTGCACTGCACGGCTCTTCCCCTTGGCTTCCAATAGCTTCGTTTGTGCACAGCCCTGAGCATCTCAGGAAGGGGCGAGCCCTGGGCACGCATCATCTACCGCAGACACAAGTGCACGCGTGTGGCCGGCGGAGGAGGGGCTAAACACGCAGCTTCCTGCCATTCGCTCACGTTTCATGCGTTTGTGTGGTCTTAGAAAGGCCTTTCTGGCATCAAGATCATCAACTGGACCCGGCACCGGCAGCTCCCGCCTGGCATCCCAGCGACTCAGGAGGCTGAGATCTGAGGATCACGGTTCAAAGCCAGCCCGGGCAGGAACGTCTGTGAGACTCTGATCTCCCATGAACCCCCAGAAAACCATGAGGGGAGATGTGGCTCCCAGGGTAGAACGCTAGGCTTGTGCAAACCAGCTCAAGGGGCCACAAGTTCAAGACCCAGGACTGGCACACGCAAAGCAACCACAGCAGCAATAAAACCCCCAAGGCCCCCACACGCACGCACACGCACATACACGCACGCACACGCACACACACGCACACGTACACACACGCACACACATGCACACGCACACACACACGCACACACATGCACGCACATGCATGCACACGCACACACACACGTACACACACTCGCACACACACAGCCAGAAGTGGCAGACACGAATTTCAGCTAATGCCAATTTGAACGCATGTCCTTGGTGCCCTCTACTGGTCACTGGTTGAAATACAATTTTTCCCCTGTTTTCTCCAAATCATCAATACATCCAATCATCAATGCATCCAACCATCAATACATCCAATCATCAATGCATCCAATCATCAATACTTCCAATCATCAATAGATCCAATTATCAATACTTCCAATCATCAATACTTCCAATCATCAATACTTCCAATCATCAATACATCCAACCATCAATACTTCCAATCATCAATGCATCCAATCATCAATACTTCCAATCATCAATACTTCCAATCATCAATGCATCCAATCATCAATACATCCAATCATCAATGCATCCAATCATCAATACATCCAATCATCAATACATCCACCTATAACTGAGCCTGGGCTCGATCTCCAAATAGCGTATCAGAAGGATAAAAGAGTGCTTGGGACTGTCATCCTAACGCGACCACTGTGGACCTTTTCCAGGTACGAAGATCACACCAAACGCACCCAGCTCACCTCTGCCGTGTTTAAATCAGACGCACGCGCTGGCTTTCATGGATGGTCTTTTCCAGACAGCATCTCATGGGGTGACCCCAGGGGACCTCCAACTTCGGTCCTCCTCCCTCCGCATCCCGGATCGGGGGGCGACCGGGGGCCACGCCCAGCTCATGGGAAACCTGGCATTTGATGAGGTCCGTGAGCAACTGTTTTCAAGCATAGTTATTCCCGACTTTTAAAGAATAAAAGCGAGCAGACTTGTGTCTGTTTTCCTTGTCAGAAGGTGTGCTATGAGCTGGTGATTCACACCTGTCAGCTCAGCTACTCGGGAGGCTGAGATCTGAGGATCACGGTTCAAAGCCAGCCTGGGCAGGAACGTCCGTGAGACTCTGATCTCCAATAAACCACCAGAAAACCAGAAGCGGCACTGTGGCTCAAGTGGTAGAGCGCCAGCCTTGAGCTGAAGAGCTGAGGGACAGCGCCCAGGCCCTGAGTTCAAGCCCCACCACCGACAACAACAACAACAACAAGCCCTGTTTCCATTTCCTGGAGTTCACCCGGAGCGATGTTGCTTGTGTGATCAGACGGAGAATGTTCTTGGATTTCGCCAGCCACAGGGTGCGCGTGACTCATGAGCGACACCCCCCAGCGCGGAGAGAGGAGGATCGGGAAGCTCTTGGTGTCCTGAGCTAGAAAGAATCCCAAGTGCATTCTGACGGGCTTCCCTGCGGCCCCCAGATCCCCCAACCCGCACGCACCCACTTCCTAGAGGAAATCCCCATGGCTGGGGAAAGGGGAGAAGCAGTGTATAGACTGCGTGGAACTTTCCAGATCTGTGTGTAAAAATAGGCACAAGTATAATTAACGAGGATATAATTAATTATGTATGATGTAATCCACCTAGGACTCAATGTTGTTAAATTATATATCATTGATAGATGTCATTAATTATAAATAACATGTTGCATATACAC